ATCACATTTTTATAGTACGTTATCATTCATCAATTAGTTTTCAAAAAATAGTTTAGACAAAAAACGTTTGGTTCTATACTTTTTATTCACATAATCTTTCCATTCGGATATGTAGTTGCCTGCAAATGAATTTTTAACTAATTTATTTTTTCTCTTTCGTTTATTGTGTGCAATTCAAGATGCCGGAAATACAAAGTTTAGTGTACTCGAGGATAAAAATTTATCCAAACTTTGATTTTTTGTTTTTAAAAGTTTTGCATATCGATGCAATACATACATATTGGAGCATATTCCTTGATATCTCGTACAAATTTTTGTAAAAAAACGCACATAATCCGAGCCTTATTTATCACATTTCAATATAAAATACAATTACATTAACAAAAATAGTTTTGATTTTATAATTGACCATTCTGAAGTTTTATAAATGAATTAGATGTATTTTTTGAGAATGTTTCTTTAGTATAGCGAAATAGTAGGAGCATTTTTGAGTTTCATTTATCATTTTTATCACATTTAAATGAATGTCAAACAAACCACAGTTTTTCAAATAATAGGGCAAATTTTCTAGTTTTTTGCATTTTATTTACGATACTAAAGATGAAATAAACAAGACAAACAATTTTACCGTCGAATTGTGTAAATGAAATGTGAAGGCAATCACTTGTCACTTTATATTTATTGATTAAAACAGTAAAGAGCACACTAACCCATTGTTGAAAATTTTCCTCCTCTTTCGGATTCGATTAGCGTGACTGATAATACATAATTGAAACTATTCGTAACAGAATTTCATGTTAATGCCGTTTGAAATGATATAATAGGTAACATTTGTTTAAGTTCGTGATTTTATGTTCCTGTATAGCCCGTTGACATTATTTAAATCAATAGCCTGGCGAAATATTTGAATGGAATGAATCTTCCTGAGTTTAAAGTATTAATTTAGTTCGTAGGGGTTAATCGTATTATTTTTGTGTTGGGTGCCAGAAGCAACGTCAGTTTGACTGTTGTATGCAATCTGTAAATTCAATACAAGCATTGTCTATATCCGACTCGAATATTTAAATATTCATGTGGCTATAGAAGCCGAGTAATTTTAATCTATTGTTAAGTTAAACAAACGCTGAAGCTCATTGTGAAATCGTATTCATTATAATAGCTTTTAATTTACTTGTAAGAACAGTATTATCTTCCATGTTTGCAAATTCTTTTAGAGTATCTGCATGTATCTATACCGGGTGGGGCATCCGTTACGCACAAAAAGAAAATCCCCACTTCTAATTAAATAAAATTGTTGAATTTTTTCACACTTACCTGGGCTTTAGTAAAGTACATTCTCTAATTTTTTGGTAATTTTTCATTCACAAACAAAGCCAAAAAAAAAATAAAAAGTAATTTTCTCCCAAAAAATTTAATTTTATACTGACCTACGCAGATTCACTTCCTATAATTGTTTACAAAATCAGAAAATGATTCTTTTGTTGGCAAATTATACCATTTTGTCATAAATCACGGGTCTGGTTTGTGTTTAAATAAAAAAAATTATTTTATAGGTAAATTAACAGAAAGTATTCATAAAACACACAAAACTGTTACGGACTCATTTATTATCCAGAAAAAATTTTAAATTATACCCTATCAATAATTAGTTAGGTATATGAAATATCGCCAGTTTTAATTTTAATATCAAGTGCGCGTAACCGATGCCCCACCCGGTACAATTAAGTCACATTTACCCGGACTTTAGTCCTCTCATCCCCCTCTCGGGACTCGCATTCGATTATTTACATTCAACTTTTAATTGGGTTAACAGTTTGCATTTTAAATCTTCGAAAGTTTGCAGTTTTTAAAATTCACCCGGGGTTTGGTTTTAGACCCCACCGAGTGAGACTTTTACGAATCCGGATGTCGTCCCTAACCCACAACGTGACGAAATGACGGCGATTTCCCAACGCATCTGGAATCTCTCCCGGCTCTCCTTCGACGGCACCGACAGGACGAACTTCCTCTACAGACAGGATTTACACCGGCATTTCGTCATAGATTCGGGTAAAAAATATAAATACACTCTAGGTACTTCAATAGTGATGTTGGAATAAATTGGATGCTTTTCACCGAATATTGCAGTATTTAATGCGTTGTTGAATGGAGAGGTGTAAGTTAACTTCACAGCGTATTCATTAAACGGATTTCCGTTAATTACTAAAGTGTAATCAAATCGTGTAAGCACACACTTTGCATGAATAAAGCTTTGAATCAATTGGTAGTACGCCTTCGTGGAAACGAGATATTTTAATTTACTTACAAGCGACTTAATTAGCCTTTATTTTGGGATCATTAACTTTGCATTTTTCAGATGAGACGAACTCTATTCTGCGAAATCCAGTCGGGGTTGCAATAGGAATCAAGCCCAACATTGACTGTTCCACTTGCATTAATCACAACGCCATTTATCCTGCCCCCGAAAATAGTAATAAAATCACCTAATTTTCTAATTAGTTACCGTAGGTGACAAGTGCAATATTCAATTAGATTTATTTATAGGCTTACTGTGACCAGCAGAATTAATAGCACTTTTGTTTGAGATTTGAATTCTGTATAGCAAAGGAATTAAAGTAATAATAACTGTAGAAATAGCAATCAATAGATATCTGTAACTAGAAATAGAAGTCATCTGGCACGAAAAATCAGTAGTTATCACACCGTTATGTACAGGATTTCATATTTTGTAAAGCTGGTAAGAAAAATTGTAATTATGCATGACTGTATCTAAACTAAAATAAAACCACTTGAATTGATCCGATTTTTTTACCCCTCCATTATTCTAAAATTAATTAATATATTCGAACAGGGCGGACATTTCACTCAATTGGTGTATCTACTAAATGAATTTTTAATGTTGCGGTTTTGATGACGCTGCATACATTTATTATTCAATTTATAATACCATATCACATAGAATTCCCTTCTTTCATACCGAATAATTACTTATCAATTATTTATCCTCTCATAAAATCTTTTCCATATTCAGATTTTAAATATTTTAGCTCAGTGATTAACTCCCTTGATAAGCAAAACCCCTGCAAATGTCAAAAATTCTAACTAGCATGCCTTTTTGCTTAGCAAATGAGTAGGTCTTGATGTCAGCTAAAAACCAGTAATACCTCATTTTTTTAAATTGGTTTAGGGGGTTTTTGCTTAGCAGACTTTTAGAGACCCAGATTACTAGATATCTAGGGACTTTATAGATTACAGCACTTCAGCGTCACCTTGTGCGGAAAAGATGAACAGCTAACTACACTTAACAGAAACCGTTAATATTTTAGTAAGTTTTCTAAATTATTGATCAAAGTTTGTTGCGCCTGGCAATCTGCAACTAGCAATACTGTGTCAAATTGAAATGCAAATAAAATTTAAATTTATTATGAAAGTTTACCACTTTTGTAACAAGAATAAAAACTTTTTTTATTATAATTTTAACATTAAACCATATAAGGTATAGTACGTCTAGCTTTAAAAACACACATCAAATATTGAATAAATTTTATAGCAAAATTTCTGACATTTTATTCTAAGGTATAATGTTTTGACACATGCTTATGTAAAATGCATAATTCGTGATAATGTAAAAATTATAGTTGGTTTTATATAAGCATTAAAAAGTGGAAAATATGGCGGCCGCAAAAAAAGAAAAAGAAAAATATATTGACAAGCTATTTTTGTATTACAATTTTTTTATTAAACACAGATATTGCATTATTACCTTTTATTGCATAAAACGCTGCAATGTTTTGTTTTTTTTATGAGTAATAGTTAAAAGTAACAATTTACGTTTTCTTGCAACCAACAATGCTTTGCTTTTTTCACAGTTTATAGTGTCCATTTCCCACTAAAAGATTCTAAAAACTGAGGTGGGTAAAAACGACTTTAAACTTACAATTACAATTTAGTTTCTTTTGCGACCAACTTTGAGAAAACCCACACTCTAAAGATGGGCTAAGTGCTGCCAACTTTGCAATAAATTAAATGGCCACTATGAATTGACCGCGACTTTTTTTTATTAAAGAATGTTTTGTTTATGGGTAAAATTTGTAATAATAAAAAGATTAAAAAGTAATAAGAAAAGCAATTCAAGTGCTACTTGTGTTAATTCTTGTTTTGTTGCGCCTGGTAGTCTGCAACCAACAATCCGCAGTGTTTTTTGTTTATTAAGCACAAAACGTAAAATGTGACCGCGACTTTAGGTTTTTTACTAGTTTTTTAACGTAACAAAATTAACAAAACAACAGTGATTCGGGCATTTTTGCTCGTAATCAGGTTTTCTTGCAACTGGTAGTCTGCAACAAACGATGCCATGCTTTTTTTCACACAGTTTACTATTATTTTTATTAAAGAATGTTTTGTTTATGGGTAAAATTTCTAATAATCAGATTAAAAAGTAATAAGAAAAGCAATTCAAGTGCTACTTGTGTTATTTCCAGTTTTGTTGCGCCTGGTGGTCTGCAACCAACAATGCGCAGTGTTTTTTTTTATTAAACACAAAACGTAAAATCTGTTTTACTATTATTTTTTATTGTTTTATTTATGAGTATAATTTGTAATAATAAAATTGAAAAATAGCAGCGATTTGAGCGCCTTTCGTGTCAATGCATTGAATTAAAACTGTCAATGACTGATGTCAGATGTTTTCTTTACTTGTGTTTTTTTCTGTATTTATCTAAAAACAAAACGTGTGATACAATAACTGACAAAATACAACCACTGATTAACACTAGCTTCCATTGCAGTTTTTTTCAATTAATTTCAAGTAATTAAAGAAGCCAAATTGATTGGGAGACAATGTTGATATTTTAAAGCTATTATAAGTAATAGAAGTGCAAAAAATGTCGAAGAATAAGTTGAATCTGACTCTACCACCGGGTTCTTTGGACCAAACCCCCACAGTGACCCCTACAAGTGCGCCGTTTCCGGACACCACAGCCCCGTAAGAGCCCCCTCTGTTCAGTCCCAAAACTAAGTCAATTTTAGGTCCAACAACGTCGGGAGCTCCAGTATCGACAACCTGACAGCTCGCATCGAAAGCCTGGAAATGGACGCGACACAGCAGCGACGCATCGATGTGTTTTTGTCCCAGAAAAAGGAAATCGGTGGCGATTTAAGCGACGACGATTTAGAAAAACTGGGCGAATTGGGGTCAGGCAACGGGGGCGTTGTTATCAAAGTCCGGCATAAATCCGGCCTTATTATGGCCCGGAAATTGATACACTTGGAGGTGAAACAGGCTATTAAACTCCAAATCATCCGCGAATTGAAAGTCTTGCATGAGTGCAACTTTACACATATTGTGGGCTTTTATGGGGCTTTTTACAGCGACGGGGAGATTAGTATCTGTATGGAGTATATGGACGCGGGGTCTTTGGATTTGATTCTGAAAAAAGCCGGCCGAATTCCTGAAAATATCCTCGGGAAGATTACTGTTGCAGTTTTGAAAGGGCTTAGCTACTTGAGGGATAAACATGCGATTATGCACCGGGATGTTAAACCGAGTAATATACTTATTAATAGCAGTGGGGATATTAAAATTTGCGATTTTGGGGTCTCGGGACAACTTATAGACTCCATGGCGAATTCTTTTGTCGGGACTAGAAGCTACATGTCGGTAAAGTATCACAAAAGTGTGACAATAAACCGATATTTTATCAATTTTAAATTTTCAGCCTGAGAGACTCCAAGGAACTCATTACTCAGTCCAGAGTGATATTTGGTCTCTTGGTTTATCACTAGTAGAGATGGCTATAGGGATGTACCCAATCCCACCCCCGGATCCAGAAACATTGAAAGCAATGTTTGAGTCGCGAAACGATAACGATTCACCCGATCACACAAAAGGGCCTCGCCCTATGGCTATTTTCGAGCTTTTGGACTACATTGTCAACGAGCCGCCGCCGAAACTCCCAAGTGGTTTATTTTCCGATGAATTCAAAGATTTTGTTGATAGATGTTTAAGAAAAAATCCCGATGAAAGAGCCGACTTGAAAACCTTAATGGTAATCTATGAAATAAACCAATCATAAAACTTATTTTTATTTCCAGAACCATGAATGGATCAAAAAAGCCGAAGCCGAGGATGTGGACATTGCGGGTTGGGTTTGTAAAACAATGGAAATACAGCCTCCTCAAAATAAAGTCTAATTTCGTGTTTTAAATTTTATCTAGCTAGTGAATGTTTGTGTTTCAGCTAAGAAACTGTGATAAATTTCATTTCAGAGCTGTAAGGTTTCATAATTTAACAATTGTCGGTTTGAATTGAAAAAAAGTCACAACCCGATTTGTTTGTATTTTGTCAATTAATTGTATGTGAAAGTGATTTGTTTGAGGTGGTCAGTTTTGCATCTGAATGTCGATTTATACTTTTTATTGTTACAACAACTGTACAGTCTATGATATAAACCATAACGTGTTAAAGTACAAAAACTGTTCTACCGTACCCGAAATCGAAATTGTCTGTGATAAAAGTTGTACATGAAAAATATAAGTCAATATAATGGTTGTGGCTTTTTGCAGGACTACTAACTTTTTTAATTTTCTATTCGTTATAATTTAGTAAATCATAGTATTATAGTATAGGATCGTTTAGTGAGACTTTTCTTTCATTTCTTTTGCATGATTGTGACAACATGTTGAAATTATGAAATGTTATATAAAGTGCACACAGAATTTATTTAATAAATGAAATATTGTTAGAGTACCTAAACTAGTCTGGCAAAAATACAAGTTTTCGCTTTTTACATCTAAATGTCTATATATTTGTAGGTAGACTAAATATCCGTAAAATAATTAAGATATATTTTTCCCGGACTAGTGATTCGTGTCAGATTTATTGAAATAATTCCATCACTCTGTAAGGTTAATGATTTAAAATGTATTTGTGCTTTACGTATGTATATTGTAATAAAATTTTGAAAAAAGTATTGATTTTGATTTGAATTTGGCGCCAAAGTGTGGTGGGGGTTTGAATTTTGGCGGTAAATTCGAAATTGTGTGCATCAGTATTTAATTAATCGTCGGTGTACATTCCTCCCATCTCTTTGTCGGCATAAAAGTAAGGAGATTGAAATAAAACTATGCCAACGCAGTATGCGCTCGTTTATATCGTAATACCTCAGTGACATTTCTTTGGAATATTTAACAGGTAGATACGTCTCTTTGACTCGTTTTGGCTGAAAATTGCCAGATAAGTTCGAATTTATTCAGGTATTTGAGATGTGTTGACAAGGAATGTTAAGAAATGCTTGAGTGCGGGACTTTTATCACCTTTTAAATAACATTAAATTTCTGATGGGATATATTTTATTAGCGCCGAATGCCGATACATTTTCGAATTTGGTGGCAAAACAAATATTCCAAATATCGCAACAATTTCTTCATTCGCTTTTTCTTTGTTTCTTAATTGTCATAGACGGCACATTGCGACCAAAGTATAAAGAATATGTTCAAAGGCGAATTAATTATGAATTCCAGGGCCTCTGGCTTTACGTTCAAAGTGCACAACTTTTAATTAAAACAAACTTGGTACTCCTACATGCAGATCAAAGTGCTTTCAGAGACTGTACCTAACATTTATGAAAAATGAAAGAGACAACCCAATTCGTTTCACTTTATTTATGTCTTCAACTCGAATTGTAAAATAGTCAAGATATCTCCATAATACTAATTTCGTGAAACGTAATGAAATTTTGATAGATTGGCGTAATTTAGGTCTAGATGTGGACGAATACATATTGCAGGGGTCTGAGACCGGTCCAAATGTGACAATGACATGACGGACAAGAGTGGCACTTGAGTGATTGTTTCATTACGTTTCTGTTGGGAAGAAAGCAGCTTGCAGGAATTGTCGACACTCAATAAAGATGACAAACAACAACACCGAAAGAGCGAAAGTTGAATCGTAGCCAAAAAATCAATAATTTAAGTGCGGGAGAAAAATTCAAGCCTTATCAATTTTCTAGTCGATCTGGTCGTTTACCCAAGGGTAAAGGCATCTGATATATCATCCCTACGTTGTAGGGACACTTGAAAATTGCCACTACTTGTCCTTCATCCCCATCCCTTTGCTTATTTTCCAGGATTAAACCCTAATTAAATATTAAATAGATTTCTAAATTGTTCCTGCCCTTGTAAATGACAAATAAGCCGAGCCCTACACGTCCCCAAATCTGCTTAAACGAGCTGAAAATTTGATTTCGGGCCCGGCCACCAAAATCTCTATTTTTTCAATAACAAACATGTAAATTGTAGATTAGTTCAAGTTGGGCACGAAAACGTCTTAATTTATGTATTAAGAGAGGCGAAGAAGTTTTTAAAAGGCGCAAGTGTTTAGTACAAGGAAATTAATGTTTGTGCCGCCCTTGTGGTTAATTTTTGGAATTAATTAGAAAAATAAATGGCTCTAGAACGAGATTTTAATGACAAAATATTAAAATTGTCGCAGATGGGAAAGTATAAATTGATAATTCCCATTATATATACGGCCCTTGTTAAGCAAAGCGCTTTAATTACATCTGGCTAGGGTAGGAAGATGGATTAGAAAATCTACGTCGTACGTCAAAAGAAACGGCCTTTATTTAACTCTAAGACAAAACGTTTGTGCCGAGCTTTTTAAAAAAATCCTGAATAAGTAAAGACATCAAATGAAGAAGAAGAAGAAGTGCGATTCTGTTTGTATAAATAATAAATTTAGTGAATGTGATTAAGCAGTTTACTCGTAGTGACATCTCCTGTATCCAGGCTTTGTTATTTATTGCCAACATCCCAAAGGAAATTATAATCCTACCTTTCACCTATGCTTGACACCGAAGGAAGTCGAGTTTCGTTTCTTATTCTCGCTTGAACAAAGAAACGAAATTATCAGTGGCGGCTCGTAGTTTTATATTAAGAGAACACAGATCTTTTTTATATAAAAACATAGAAATATACGTGGAGGTTTAGCCAAAAACGAGTGATACATTTGGGGCTCATTTTTTGAGAAAATAATATTGGTTAAAACCGCATCTTGCTATCGACTTTTGTTTTCGATTTACAGACAAAAGTTGACATTTTGTCGAAATCTAAAAAAAATATATTTTTGTTATTATAGAAGATACGGATTTGAAATAAAGACAAGCACTTTTTTACGAGGAATTTAATAATGTAGTTAACTATTTTTTTTAGTTACTTGTTTAACCGTAATAAGATAAAAATGTATTTTTTTAAGTGGAAATTATAGGCGGCTATGGCAATTTTGAAAAGCTTATTTTTTTCTGATCCAAAAGAAATATATTTGTAAGAGAATATTTTTTTATAATTATACTTAAAAAATGAAATACATATTTTGTTTGATAATAGTTGGCTATGGAAAAACTATTTCACTCCAAATGTGTAAATAATAATCAATAAGAGTTTTGTGAACCGTGAAATGGATGAAAAAATAGATAAAATTAAATAAATAAAATAAAAATTTTAAAAATGCGATACGTTAGAAGTATCGAACAAATATGCGAGCGTCTCAGAAAAATTTTTACATATTTTTAAAAAATTCAAAAATAGGAAAAAGAAATGTCAACACAATTAGAAAAAACATTTTTTTGATGGTTTATTCACATAGACGGAATTTAGGGTCTTTGAATAGCCATATCGTCATTTTTGTGTCATATAAAATATATTTCATTAAAGAATTAAAACGGCTTTTTTTACAACACTCTATGTATTGCTAAAAATTACAATAGTAATGTTAACTTAAACAAGTTAAAAAAGTTAAAAAGTTTTCTAAGCACTAATAAGTAATAAAATAAATGCAAAATAAATCCTAATTAACTTATTGGTAACTAATAACATTTCTTTGTTTTTGTTTAAAAATTAGTGCTTAGAAAACTTTTTCATTAACTTGTTAAATAATATAGTTTAAATCCTTTTAGTTGAAGATGTAACATTTTTCCATGGCCAACTGCGAACAAAAATCAAAGATAATTTTTTGCTAAAAATGTATTATAATAATTTGTTACAAATACAATATATTTTTAGACCAGAAAAAAACAAGCTTTTTAAAAATGTCATAGCCACCTATGATTCCCATTTTAAAAAATACAAGTTTATCTTATTAAAGCTAAACAAGTAACTGAAAAATTATTTACTTATTAAATTCCTCGTAAAAAAGTGTCTGCATAATTTCTTTATTTTAAATCCGTTTCTTCTATAATAACGAAGATATGAATTTTTCTAGATTTCGCCAAAATGTCAACTTTTGTTTGTAAGTCTAAAACAAAAGACGATAGCGGGGATGCGGTTTAAACCAATATTATTTTCCCAAGAAATGAGCCCCAGAATGTATCACTCGTTTTTGGCTAAAAATCTTAGTTTCGGAGATTCCCTATTCGGACATCCAAAATGCAGCACCCTGTACACATGTCATTTTTGACAACTAAAAAATTATTCTTTGCTTTGCTTACCACGAAAAGTTGACTTTTAACAGCAAAGAAAAATACAAAAGTCGACTAACCTTTTTAAATTTTTTAATTTTTTTTGAACGCTTCATTAAATTTATTAATTTCAATTTGCGTGGACGAATCTACATTTGTGGCTATTTCTTATTTACCCTGGAGATGTAATTTATATATTCTTGACTTTAAGTGTGTCTTTCTATTGCCCTTGGTATTTTTTAAAGTTGTATTACCACAGTTTTAGACCGTGCTTCCTCACCACGACTTGAAAATGGCTAAAAAAAATTTTTGCTTCCAGTTAACCACTCATATTTAATATACCAGGAATTTACAAAACTATATTAATAATAAATTTTCCTATAACCTTAAAAGAAAGTAAGTTTTTCCATTCGAATTTCAAAAAGGAAAGTGGCCAATTACCTCCCTCTGTCAAAATTAGAATAAAAATATAAAAACCTCCCCGGGAAATAGAAATTTTACCTACCCCATAGAAATTGAAAAATATGCTGCTAGATTTAATGCAAAACTGGGATATTAAGAGAAATTGTTAGAATTGAAGTTTTTCTTGCTGGATTTGACAACAACCAAACACTACACTAAAAAAATCTACCCTACATTTTGCATTATTGCAAAAGACACCGTTGCAAATTTGACAATTGACATTGACAGATTTCAGTATTCTCGCCAAATTAAAAAATTAATTCCCATTGGATTAATAAAAAAGATGGAGCTGCCTCCTGCCCCACTCAAAGTTCGAATCGTTACTCTCTGGCCTAAAAACACTTTAAATTATGTACTAGCCTTTTCAAAAATCTTAGATCTTCTCAGCAACATGTGCACTGCGCCCTTCCAAACATCTCAGCTGTTTAGCAGGATAGTTCACTGGTTCACCATTATTTAAAGCAAAAAAATCAACATTTGAACAAATAAATTTCTAGTAAATTATTTTATTTTTAACTTTTATTTTCACTGGGAGGCCACTTTTCCTGACGAGCCGCCACTGGCAGGGGCCGACTGGCCAGGGGTGCCACAGCACACCGGGCCCTCGTGTCTTACAGGGCCCCAATTATGGTAGGCTCTTATTTTAAATTAAATGTTTCTATACGTATCTTTATTAATTTATTATGTCAAGAGCCCAATCAAATAAGATCAATTTTACATTTTTTTAAATAAACTTTCCACAGTGCAGGAGAAGGTTGTACATAATTTGAAATTACATAGAGCTGATTCCATAAAGAGCTGAACCACGTTTTTCGCCGAAGCTAAGTGTGTTTGTTTGTAGGAATTAAAAATATAGCCAAAACAAATTCGTAAAACTTAAACCAAGTCTATAATTTTAATGATTTTAGTTCAGTTTTATTTATATGGTCCTAAGAGTATGTAAGAAAAGTCCGCGTGGTTTTATACAAAATATCGTTTTTACTTTTAAATTTATATGTTGGCATAACTAATGGAAAATTATAAATACTTACAAGGTTATATAA